ACGTAGCATTTTATGCATGCGAACGTTGTACCGTACACCGAAAAAATTATATTCTCAAATATATACTTAATAGAGATATTCTTAACAAATAAGGATATTTTCCTCTTAACGTGATGGTTTTTAGAATATCTTCTTAAATTAAGAATATATATTCTTAATACTTCCGCATGCGCAATTATGCGCAACGTGCGACAACGTGCATATGTCATTTACTGCGTGTGTTCTTGGTTCTTGGTTCTTGGTTCTGTTATTCAGTGATTCTGTGTGATTTATAAAAAATGGATAAAGAAGTGATTAAATGGTTGGAAGAAGAAGATCTAAGCGATTTAATGGAAGTATTTGAAAGTGAGTATGAAATATTGATAAAGACTGAGTTGTGTTACTCTGTATTTATGTGTACGTGCATGCGTGTAAAAAATCTCAACTTCCGATTCTAGATTACACAAAATTTCTTTCTTTTTTCAAATATTTTTATTATAATTATTTGTAATTAGCTTAACCTTTATTCACAAATGTCCAGTCTAGCTATTTATCTAACCTTATCTATCTAACCTTAAACTTATTGCATATGCATTGTATGTACTTTGCAATCTAATATATACATATATTTAACATAATATGTTGTCGTTTCAAATTCTTGTTTTATTTTCTTTCCATTAATCCTTTCTTTAATGTAATTTCAAAATAGAATTACATTTGCACTTTTCATTGAATATGCTGCAAGCTATTGTGCTTTATTTCTTGTGCTTTTTCCTAGGTCAAAAAATAAGTAGCATGAAAAGATTACTCGCTCTAAATGAAGAATTAATAAAAGAATTAATTCCTCAGATAGGATTGCGAGCAGGTTTTCTTAGTAGTTGAAAGCAGCTAGTAGTAAGTGTGCCTATTGTTTAAGATTTGCTATATCGAAGCATGTACATACTTCAACTTTCAATCTTTAATACATTTCACTCTTTCTTAATAACATTTTTCTATACGTTAATATAATGCTTATATTAAATAAATGTTTATGATTTTTATTTGCAGGCCTCTAAAGAAACATTAATTATTTCAAACGACACACCAATAGTAATAACTACAATATCTGAAATATCTGAAGTTTCAGAATTACCTGAAGAACCTGAAGAACCTGAAGAACCTGAAGAAGTATTTGAGAAACCTACTATCGTAAGATTATATGTATATACAATATATCTAAAATTAAATTTAAAAAATTTCTAATTAATACATTTTCATTAATTGGATTTATATAGCAGATTCTTTTAAATTTATACTTTCAAAAATGTCAAACTCATTACTTCATGTACAACTTCAAAAGATCATATAGTTAAATGATGTTCCAATTTGCTATTTTTTTTTAGATAATAAATTAATAAATTAATTCTGTATAAATAAATGTAATTGTGAAGAGTTATTGCTTCAGATGATATATTTTTCTATTTAAGATTTTTTATTTAAAAATTTGACATCAAAATGAAACTTTTTTGATTCAAGTGGAAAATTCTTCCGTAATTGAAATTTATTTTTATTTTTTCCAGAACCACTCTATTAAGCACACTAATTTTGATTTAAAAGAAACGCTATTTTTACCTTCTGTTTCCAATATTGATTCAACTCAAGAAATTAAGAAAAAAAGATTTAAAGGAAGAAAAGAAAGTGTATCTATAGAGACAAAAAAAGAAAATCCTAAATGCCAACAGAGTCGACACATCTTATCTTTTAAATCATCAGAAAAATTATCAGCTTTGGTTCGTAAATCTCATTTTGACTTATTATTAATATTCAGTGATATTCATATTTAATACTTTTTTATTTCTTGTATCTTTAATATTTTTAGAACTTTGAGAAACTTTTGGAAAATCATTCCTTAAAAAGTTATTCTGCTCTTCATAATTTTAAGAAAAAGGGAATGCTCACTGATTTAGATAGATCCGCCATAACTGAAACAGTAGCTAATGTCATCCTTCAGCTGAATCACTTGTAAATATTTGTTTTGTGAACTCTTTAATAATATTTTAAAACAATTTGAACTTTGTCTTCTTTTTTGTTTTTTTTTTTTTAATAGGCCGACATCTGCAGAATACAATATTGCAGCAAGTAAAATATGTGAATTGTTTCCGTGTGAAACTAAGGTAAAATTTATAATAAAAAAAATTTCTTTTATTCAATTACATTAGAATTAGAAAATTACATTTATTTATTTTTTTTTTTTATGTTCAATGGATGTCTTTTTTTTATCTGAAATGTAGGAGTCGTATTATTGTCCGCCAGCAGGCAAACATAGAAATGCGTCAGGTAAACTTCCTGATAAAATAAAAAATATAAAATACCAAGTCAAGAAAAAAGCTGCTGGTTCTTGGGCCATATCTGAATCTTCTTCTATTCCCAGTGAAGATAGAATTACTCATTGTGCAAAGTTTGCAGGTAACAATTGTATCTATTAATCTTGAGAGATTTTATTCAAAATTTCCAAAAAGAAAAATATTTGTAGTTTGTTAAAATGTATAGTATTTTTTTTTTATAACAATAAGGAAATAATATTTATTAGGCAAATATCCAATACAGAGATATGATTTTGTGTAAATCAGGTTTACAAATGTATAGGGTAACGATTAAGAAGTGGATAAATTTATAATTTTTCTTAATTACTTAATCTCAATAACATTTTATACATAAAGTTGTTATCGCTTTTTTGATTTTTTCAGGAAGTTGTGATCCAAATGACTCTGCAATTAAAACTGCAATTGCTCATTTAAAATACGATAGTATTGAGTCTTGGCCTGAAGTTTTGCGTAGTTGGTCAGTTACACATCCTTTACGCTTTCAGTATCTTAGGGAAACTAGACCGATATCGCAGCTACAGAAGATAGACAGACCGTCTTCTGCTCAATTGCAGTCTGCTTTAGTAAATGATTATTTCAAAAATTGGCCTGTGCTTTCACTACCAAACGGATATCTACTGGTAAGAAAATTGAATGTACATATTTTAAATGTAATGCTCTTCCTCTCTTTTCGATTTTTTTCCTTTCAAATACATTGAGTTAATTAATTTGCAGATTCAACAAGATTTTAAAGAGTTATATCCTGGCAGAGAAGATGGCTTAATATCAAAGTGGGATTCAACCAAAGAAGCCTTGATTAACCTCCTTCATGCTGAAATTTCAAAATCAGATGAATATGGTAGAAAGTTACTTACAGATTTGACTGTTACAGATGCAGGTATTTATAAAAAATTGTATTTGCAGTAAAATTTCTTTTATTATTAATATATAATTTTATTACTTTATTTAAACTATTTGTTAATGTTTTCAGATAAAAATGATGTAATTTTATTTCATTTATTGCCATCACTCTGTTGTAAAAGGACAAGAGGTGCAAGAGTGGGCATACCATCTGTTGCAGAAGCCAAGCAGACTTTTCTCCTCCATATCTATGTAATTATCAATCGTTATAAATATTTTTATTTTATAATAATGATTTACATTCTCATTCATTATTTTCAAAAATATGTTTATAGATCCCAGGAGATTTGAATCGTCAAATCAAGATACATACTGAGTGGTTAGCAAATCGTGGTCAGAACTTGCAGCCGACATTAATATTTGTTGGACCTACTTTAACGAATATTACTGCCAGTTACGTCCAAATAGATAATGTAAGGTACGAACTCCGCACTCCGTTAAAAGCACTAGATACATGTTTCAAGGCGTTTCATGCGTTAGATGCTGCATACCAAGAAGAGTGCCAAGCAATTTGGCTTTTTATTCAAAAGTATTTTTATGATTTATATCTCAAAGAAGATAGTAACATTCCGCGAGTAAAAAGTATACTTAGTTCCTTGAAGGGATTGATTTTAAAAGAAATCTAGTTTCTGCTTATGTTGTTCTTCTGCTAATGTTGTTCTTCTGCTAATGTTGTTCTTCTGCTAATGTTGTTCTTCTGCTAATGCTGTTCTTCTGCTAATGCTATTCTTCTACTAATACTATTCTATATTTTTGTTTTATGTAGCATAGCTTTTATTATTTACAAAAATGTATACTTGTAACGATTGTTACTTTCAATTGCCTTCCATAAAAGCATTATGCTGTCATTTACAGATAATTCATTCATATAATGTTTTTAGTGTGTATAAATGCGCTCAGAATGGTTGCTCTCGAGAGTATAACTCAATAAAAGCTTTTAGAAAACATTTGAGAGATAAACATTCTGCTCGTATGCTTGGTGCAGTACCATTGCAGGTTTTTCATCAGGAGCATTTGGAAATTAAGGGGTTACACTACCCAAGCGCGTCGAAAAAAATAAGCTTTTTCGTGAATTTTTTTCTTGAATTCTAGGTGGTGGATCAAAACAAAAATTTAGAGCTTTATTACACATATATTAAAGTTCTCAAAAATATTTTTTATTTATATATGTATAACAAAATGGCGTCGTGGCAGTATAAAAAACAAAAAAATTTTTTTTGTAAGAGAAAAACGGTGTGCACCGTTGCAGTCTTGGTGTGCCATCTGGAACAAAAAAAAAA